GGGGGGGGGCGGGAACGCGCGTGCGCGGCCAGAGCGCGGGAACGGCGCGAGGACGCGCGGCCCGCCCGCCGCCGCCGCTCCGCGCATGCGCGGCCGTGAGGGGAAGGCGCTGGAATTGGTGGAGATAAGATTGAAATAAAGGGTTTCGAAAATAAAGCGGTGAGAAATGAAAGGGGTTTAAAAGGTGTTAAAAATAAAGGGGTGAGAAATGAAGGGGTTTAAAAGAAAGGGCTTAAAAATAAAAGCGTTAAAAGGAAAGGGCTCAAAAGCGGGGTGAAAAGGTGCTGGCGGGCGCAGGCAACGGGGGCATCAGCGCAGGGAAATTGCAATAAAGGTGTAAAAATAAAGGTGTTAAAATGACCGAGTTTGAATTTAAAGAATTAAAAAGGAATTAATTAAAAGGGGTTAAAACCGCGGTGGAAAGGGATATGCGGGTCAGGGACCAGGGCACCAGGAACGGGGGCAGCAGGGCAGAGAAATAAAAATAAAGGAGTTAAAAGTAAGGAGATAAAGGAGTCAAAATAGAGGCGTTTAAAAAGGTGAATTTTAAAATTACAGGATTAAAAATGAAAGAATTGAAAGTAAAGTCCCGGTGAAAAGTGACATGTGGGCATTGGGAATGGAGCACTGGGATGCAGAAATAAAGTTTATAAAATACAGGGACTAAAAGAAAGATTACGAAAATAAAGTAATTAAAGTAAATTAATTAAAATGTAATAATTAGAAAGATTATAAATGAAGAATTTAAAAATTAAAGAATCAAAATTGAAGGGTTTAAAAGTGGGGTGAAAAGGTTCGTGTGGGGGACCAGCAACAGAGGCCTTGGGGCAGAGGAATAAAAATAAAGGGGTTAAAATAAAGAAGTTTAGAAGAAAAGTGTTTCAACTAAAGGAATTTAAAACAAATGCGTTAAAATAAAATTATTAAAAGTAAAGGGATTAAAAGCAGGGTGAAAAGGTACATGTAAGCATCGAGAAGAGCATCCGCGCCTTCTACAGGGGCGGGAAGATTAAATGAGTTAAGCTAAAGTAATTAAAAGTGCAGGAAGTGAAATAAAGTACTTTGGAATTCAGGATAAAGAAATTCAAAGAAAATTAAAAAGTATGTGCGCCGCCCGGGAATCGAACCCGGGTCGCAAGAATGGGAATCTTGCATGATACCACTACACCAGCGGCGCGCCTGGTGAGCTATGGCTCTCTGTGTCCTTCATGAATCCGCTCCCAGCGCCGGCCCGGGTCGTGCTCCCGGCCCGCCCATCGCCCTCTGCCCTTCGCCGCCGCCATGCCGGGCCTCTGCTGGCTCCTGCTGCTGCTCTCCGCGCTCTGCCCGCCCGCCCTCAGCCTCCGCCATGGGCCCTCCAAGATCGGTGCGAACGGGGACAGAGGGGGCGATGGCCGCGAGCTGAGGGAAGGCGGTTGTGTGAGGGACGGGGACTCGGGAAGGGATCAGTGAGGGGAAAGCTGAGGGGGGAGCTCTTAAGGGGATCCGTCAGAGGCGGTGTGAGGGAGTGTCCCTTGAAGGGATGAGGGGATCTGTGAGGAGCAGGGGGTGCCACTGGGATCCTTTGAGGGGATCCCTGAGGAAGGTGCGATGGGGGGACCCCTCAAGGTCCCTGAAGGTCTGGGGTGGGCCGTGAGGGGATCTTGGAGAGGCAGTGGATATGAGGGGGTTCCCTTGAGGGGATCGGGGTGGGGCCTGTGAGGGATCTGTGAGGGGGTCCATTGAGGGGATCTATGGTTCAGGGGGCCATGAGGGGTCCGTGAGGGGTTCTATTGAGGGGATTGGGATGTGGGGTCTGTGAGGGATCTGTGAGGGGTTCCCTTGAGGGGATCTGTGGTGCAGGGGGCCATGAGGGGTCTGTGAGGGGTTCCCTTGAGGGGATCTGTGGTGCAGGGGGCCATGAGGGATCTGTGAGGGGTTCTGTTGAGGGGATTGGGATGTGGGGTCCATGAGGGATCTGTGAGGGGTTCCCTTGAGGGGCTCTGTGGTGCAGGGGGCCATGAGGGGTCTGTGAGGGGCTCCGTTGAAGGGATTGGGATGTGGGGTCCGTGAGGGATCTGTGAGGGGTTCCTTTGAGGGGATCTGTGGTGCAGGGGGCCATGAGGGGTCTGTGAGGGGTTCTATTGAGGGGATTGGGATGTGGGGTCCGTGAGGGATCTGTGAGGGGTTCCATTGAGGGGATCTGTGGTGCAGGGGGCCATGAGGGGTCCGTGAGGGGTTCTATTGAGGGGATTGGGATGTGGGGTCCGTGAGGGTCTGTGAGGGGTTCCATTGAGGGGATCTGTGGTGCAGGGGGCCATGAGGGATCTGTGAGGGGTTCTATTGAGGGGATTGGGATGTGGGGTCCGTGAGGGATCTGTGAGGGGTTCCATTGAGGGGCTCTGTGGTGCAGGGGTTCCATTGAGGGTCTCTGTGGTGCAGGGGGCCGTGAGGGGTCCGTGAGGGGGTGTGTGAACTGGGCTCTCGTGGGGCCGTGAAGGTGACCGGGCTCTCTTCTCCCAGCCGTGGTGGGCGGCGGGATCGGCGGCTCGGCCGCCGCGTATTTCCTGCGGCAGAAGTTCGGCCGCAGCGTGCAGCTGCACGTGCTGGAGAAGGCAGCGGTGGGCGGCCGGCTGGACACGCTGGACGTGGAGGGGGCCAGCTACGAGTCAGGGGGGTCCGTGATCCACCCCCTCAACCTGCACATGAAGCATTTTGTCAAGGAGCTGGGTGAGCATGGACCCCGCACCTTGGCGTTTCCTAGTCCCAAAATTGTCCCTCAGACCCAAAATGATCCCCCTGGGGTGCTCTGGGTCCCACCCTGCTGGGGGACATCCCCTTATCCATCCCCAGTAGCCCCCCATATCCTTCCCCAATAGTTCCCCTCCTTATAGTTCCCTAGTGATCACCTTTCTCCAGTATCCCTCCCTCACAGGCCACTTTCCTTCCCAAATACCCCCCATCACCTCCCCCATACCCCAGCCAAAGGGGAGTATGGGAATGGTTCCACCCCTCCCCACAGGTGACCCACTTATGGCACCATAAAGGTCCAAAAATCGCCTCCAATCACTCCCTGGCCCGTGATCAAGGGCTAATTCCCCTTTCCACACTTTGGCACTCCCATCTTCAATCACTCTCCCTTATCAGCACGAAGCCAGGTTATCTCAGGAAGGTAAAACTGAGGTGCAATAGCTCTACCTTTCCCTAAATTACCTTTTTCTGTCCTTTTCCCAAAGGCCTCTCAGTCAGCTCACCCCAGGGCAGCCTCGCGGGCGTTTACAACGGGGAGGAATTTGTGTTTGAGGAGAGCAGCTGGTCCTTCATCAACCTCCTCAGGCTGCTGTGGCACTATGGCCTGAACCCCCTGCGCATGTCCATGTGGGTGGAGGACATCCTGGACAAGTTCATGAGGTGGGTTGGGGTCCTGAGGGGAGGAAAGTGGGAAAGGACCTTAAAAATACCTCATTCCGTGGAGCACCTTCCTCTATCCCAGGTGGCTCCAAGCTTCATCCAGCCCGACTTGGACACTTCCAGGGGTGGGGCAGCCACAGCTTCTCTGGCAAAACTGTGCCAGGGCCTCTCCACCCTCATAAAAATCCCCAGCGTGGAACCTGACCCTGCCCTCTTTGTGCTGTCCCTCCAGGCCCTCGTGGGGATCCCCTCAGCTCCCAGGGCCGCAGAGCTCACTGGCAGAGGATCTCTTGTGTGCAATTGCAGGATCTACCGCTACCAGATGCACGACTACGCCTTCAGCAGCAACGAGCGCCTGCTGCACGCCCTGGGAGGCGACGACTTCGCGCGCCTGCTCAACCAGAGCATCGACGAGGCCATGCAGAAAGCGGGCTTCTCCCAGAAATTCATCAACCAGGTGGTGTGCCCGGCCATGAGGGTGAATTACGGCCAAGGGGTCACCATCAATGGCTTTGTAGGTGAGTGTTGGAGGTGGCCGCCCGTCCTGCGTGTGGCAGAGTGGTTTGGAGTAGAGATGGTGCTGTGGGCAGCCTTGCCCGTGATGAGTTGCAGCTGTATTAATTACCAGAGAGTGGAAGCCTTGCCCTTGCTGTGTCCAGTAAGGAGGTTTGATATAAAAGAGTGGGTTGAGCAGTGGTGAGGAGGAGGAAGGAGGAAAGAGACAAGGAGTGAAGGAGTCAGTGTTGGGTGTTGCTGCCCGTTGACAGAGAAAAGATAGGAAAGTTTACTGTAAAGGATAATAAAGGGCTGCTGCTTGCACATCGTGGGTGTCAGTCATTCAAGTCCCCTGTCAGTGGGGAAAGGTGTGGAAGTTTTACTGAGGGATGATGAAGGGCTGGTGCAGCCCACCAGCAATGGGGAAAGTCATCTGGGTCCACCACCAACCGGTGCCCCGTGTGAGGAGTGAACACTGACAAAAGCCAACAGCCGGGTGCTGGGTTCTGCTCCCTGGGCTCCAAGCCCTGTGTCCCTAAGGGATGTTTGTCCCCCAGTTTTGCAGTTTGTTTTTCCAGTGTTTCCCTGCTGACAGAGGTGGTTTCCTTGCAGGTGCTGTGTCCCTGGCTGGGGCGCAGTCAGGCCTTTGGTCTGTGAAAGGGGGGAACAAACTTGTGTGCTCCGGCCTCATCTACTCCTCCAAGGCCGAGGTTATCCCGGGAACAGTGGTGTCCATCGAGCCAAAAAGCAGACACAAGCGTGGCGGTGAGTGGGGCTGCAGTTCCCATCAGTGCGAGGGGACGGTGACGCTGGAGAGCGACCTCAGCCCCTTGGAGGTTTCAAAATGAAAATTCCTCCCTGGGAGGGTGGAGGGGCTGGGATGGGATTCCCAGAGGAGCTGTGGCTGCCCCTGGATCCCTGGGAGTGTCCAAGGCCAGGCTGGATGGGACTTGGAGCAAGCTGGAATAGAGGGAGGTGTCCCTGCCATGGAACTGGATGGGCTTTAGGATCCCTTCCCATCCAACCCATTCCATGAAAACAGGGCTCAAACCCCCACTGCACAAATTGATAAACCCAGATGTGGTGGCATTTTGGGGTGCCAGGGACAGTCGGGATTCCCTGCCGGCACGGCTCAGGGTGACGGAGCTGCTCTCCACAGGGGACGCGGTGAAGCTCTACGAGGTCACCTACAACACGTCCTCGGGGCTCACGGGGGACACCTACGACATCGTCCTCATCGCAGCCCCGCTCGGCCGCAAGATGGCCAACATCACCTTCCGGAACTTCGACCCTCCCGTCCCGGAATTCCTGAATCCCTACCACCAGACCGTCACCACCTTGGTGCACGGGCGCTTGAACACCTCCTTCTTCGGCTACCAGGACCCCCAGGCCTTTCACTTGGGGGCCATTTTCACCACGGACAACCCCAAACTGTTCATCAACAGCCTGAGCGTGGTGTCCCCCGTGGGGGACACGGGCGGGAAGCTGCCGTTGCCGTCGGCCGTCTGGAAGGTGTTTTCCAACGAAGAGCTCACCAAGGAGCAGCTCAATTTGCTCTTCTCCTCCTACGACTCGGTGAAGGTGAAGCCGTGGCTGGCGTATCCCCAGTACAGCGCCCCCGAGAAGTTTCCTCCCATCATCCTGCACGAGCAGCTCTACTACCTGAACGGGCTGGAGCGCGCCGCCAGCGCCATGGAGATGAGCGCCATCGCTGCCCGCAACGCCGCCCTGCTCGCCTTCCACCGCTGGCACGGCCGCAGCGCCAGCGTCGACCAGGAGGACCTGCACGAGAAGCTCAAAACGGAGCTCTGACACGCCCCCAGGGCTTAATTAGCACTAATCAACGCTGTGCCTCGCCCCTCCAAGGAGGTGTTTTGTAGAATCACGGAATCCTTACAGTCGGAAGGTCTTTAAGATCATCGTCACCTTCAAGATCTTCAAGAACATCAAGACCATCAAGATGCTGTAATTAACTCTAATGAACTCCGTACTTGGTCCCTCTGTAGACGTGTTTCATAGGATCATGGGATCCTTAAGGTTGGAAGACCCTCAAGATCATCAAGACCTTCAGGATCTTCAAGATCATCAAGATCGTCAAGATGCCCTAATTAACATTAATGAACTCTGTGCTTCGCCCCTCCAAGGAGGTGTTTCACTGGATCACGGGATCCTTAAAGTTGGAAGAGCGTCAAGAACTTCAACACCATCAAAACCTTCCAAGACTTTCAGGATCTTCAAGACCCTCAAGGTCATCAAGACCTTCAAGTCCAACCATCGACCCAACCACGTTCACCACTAACGATGTCCTCAAGAGCCAAATCCACGCATTGTTTGGACACTTCCCAGGGTTGATGACTCTACCATAGCCTAGGCTGGACAGCCCTTCCTTCCATGACAAAATTCCTCCCAAATCTCATCTTGACGTCCCCCGGTGCCACCTGGAAGCTGCCTGGCCAGCTCTGGAGGGAGCAGCGGACCTGCACGAGAAGCTCAAAACGGAGCTCTGACACGCCCCCAGGGCTTAATTAGCACTAATCAACGCTGTGCCTCGCCCCTCCAAGGAGGTGTTTTGTAGAATCAAGGAATCCTTACAGTCGGAAGGTCTTTAAGATCATCGTGACCTTCAAGATCTTCAAGACCATCAAGATGCTGTAATTAACTCTAATGAACTCCGTACTTGGTCCCTCTGTAGACGTGTTTCATAGGATCATGGGATCCTTAAGGTTGGAAGACCCTCAAGATCATCAAGACCTTCAGGATCTTCAAGATCATCAAGATCGTCAAGATGCCCTAATTAACATTAATGAACTCTGTGCTTCGCCCCTCCAAGGAGGTGTTTCACTGGATCACGGGATCCTTAAAGTTGGAAGAGCGTCAAGAACTTCAACACCATCAAAACCTTCCAAGACTTTCAGGATCTTCAAGACCCTCAAGGTCATCAAGACCTTCAAGTCCAACCATCGACCCAACCACGTTCACCACTAACGATGTCCTCAAGAGCCAAATCCACGCATTGTTTGGACACTTCCCAGGGTTGATGACTCTACCATAGCCTAGGCTGGACAGCCCTTCCTTCCATGACAAAATTCCTCCCAAATCTCATCTTGACGTCCCCCGGTGCCACCTGGAAGCTGCCTGGCCAGCTCTGGAGGGAGCAGCAGCAGTGAAGCGTTCCCAAGTAAGCCGTGACATTTTCCTCACACCAACTCCTCCATTTATCCCTGTCTGAGATTAGGGAATTCATTAAAAGTGCCACATTGACCCCAAAAGTGCCCTCCAGCTGGGAATATCGACTTTCTGGCTGTCCATCCCTCTGCCCCAACTTCTCCTGCCTAAAAATAATTCCTCAGGGTGGAAATTGGGGGGAATGGGGTGCTGGGAGCTGCCAAAATGGGTGGGAAAGAGGAAAAACCACCAATATCCATTGCTCTGTTCAGGTATGAAGGAGTAAATAAAGAATTGAACAATGTCCACGATTTGAAGGAGAAAACCACCAAAAACAGTATAAATTTAACACCCACTTCCATAAATTAAAAGTTTTCCATGAGTTTTCCCAGGGTTGGGAGCAGAATTATCACCCAGCTGCCAAAAACTGATGCCAGAAAGGCTTGAGTTAGATCAACCATTACAAAATTGATTTAATAACAAAACCAAAATAATTGTACACTCGTGGGTGGCATCTTGGGTGAGGGAACGGAACCGGTGGGTTGGGACTTGGGGTGTTCCAGGGGCTCATACTCGTTCCAAAGCTTCCAGCATGATGATGCTGTTCCCTCGGATCACCTGGAAGGGGAAGGTGAGAGCTGTTACCTCTGATCCAAGCCTTCCTTCCCTCCGTCCTTCCAGCCTGTTTCCCCAAAAATCCCGGAAAAATTGGGTCATTCCACCACAGGAATGAAAATGGGCTGACTTTCATTCACAGTGCTCCCAGTGCCCCCAGTGCCCCCAGCACCCTGCTCCCAGTGCTCCCAGTGCCCTCACCACTCTGCTCCCAGTGCCCTCACCACTCTGCTCCCAGTGCCCTCACCATTCTGCTCCCAGTGTCCCCAGTGCCCTCACCACCCCGCTCCCAGTGCTCCCAGTGCCCTCAGCACCCCACTCCCAGTGTCCCCAGTGCTCTCACCACTCTGCTCCCAGTGCTCCCAGTGCCCCCAGCACCCTGCTCCCAGTGTCCCCAGTGCCCTCACCACCCCGCTCCCAGTGCTCCCAGTGCCCTCAGCACCCTGCTCCCAGTGCCCTCACCACCCTGCTGCCAGTGCTCCCAGTTCCCTCAGCACCCTGCTGCCAGTATTGCCAGTGCCCCCAGCACCCTGACCCCAGTGCCCCCAGTTCCCTCAGCACCCCGCTCCCAGTACTCCCAGTTCTCCCAGTGCCCCCAGCACCCTGCTCCCAGTATTCCCAGTGCCCTCAGGACCCTTGAGCGGGACCCGCGGGGGGCGAACGGGAAGGACCGACCCGTAATGGGATAAGGAGAAAACAATGAGTTTTCAACTCGTGTGGTAGTTAAATGAATGAACTACGGCTTAATGAATGAATCGGAATTTAACTAATGGGCTGCGAGGCCTGGAATCAGTCAGGGCGTGCTGCCGGGGCCCGAGCGCCAGCGCCAGCAGCGGGACCCCTCCCTGGGCTCCGTGAGGGGCGGGCGGGGGTCCCAGACCCGGGCGGGGGCAGCGGGGCTGCGGAGGGTCCCCAAACCCGGGCGGGGGCTGCGGAGGGTCCCAAACCCGGGCGGGGGCAGCGGGGCTCTGCTGCCCGCCCGCCGCCATCTCCACGCACTCGTCGATGACCAGGTTCATGAAGGGGTCGAAGCCCCGCAGGATGCCCTGCACGTGCCGGCCGCCGTTCAGCTTCACTGCGGGAACGGGGGGTGGGAACGGGAACGGGGGTTAGGAACGGGAACGGGGGGTAGGAACGGGAACGGGGGTTAGGAACGGGAACGGGGGGTTAGGAACGGGGTTAGGAACGGGAACGGGTCACCGGGGCTGCGGAGGGTCCCCAGACCCGGGCACTGCTGGGGGGCCTGACGGGGATCGTGGCGGGCCGGGGTCCCGGGCCGGGGGATCGGGGTGGGATCAGTTATCAGTTCCAGAACTCACACGACAGCTTCTTGTCCATGAACCTGCAAGGAGACGGCAGCGGGTGAGCACCGCACCGGGCAAGAGCCCCCCGCCATTATCCCCTCACGAACCGCCCCCGCCGCCGCCGCCATTACAGCGGGGCGCCGCGGTGCACGCCGGGACACCGGCCAGCGGCGGACGGCGCCGTTCCGGTGCCCGGCTCCCCCCACACCGTGCCCGGCTCCCCTCGCCCCCCGGCCCCTCCGCACGCACTTTTTCAGCTCGGGCGGGTGCGCTTTGCTCATGGCGCCCGCAGTCCCCGGCCCGTCTCTGCCGCGCGCCGCGCTCTGACGTCAGCGCGCCGTGCGTCTACCCGCGCCAGCCAATGGCAGCCGCGCGCGACTCCGCGCCGCTTCCCCGGCAGCCAATGGCGGCCCGCGGCGCGCTACCGCACTCACCCGAGTAGCGGCGCAGCCGGGGGAGGGCAGCGGGGCGGGGAGCAGGGGCGGTGAGGGCAGTGCGCGGCTACACGGGGAGGTACGGCGGCATGGCCGCCTTCGTGCGCGGGCACGCGGTGTGCGGTGTCCGTGTGCGCGCCCGCGTGTGCGCGCGTGTGCGTGTGTGTGTGGGCGTGCATGGCCCAGGGTTACCCCAGGCCAGTGCGGGACCACCCGCACACCCCACACCGCACACCTGTACCCGCACACCCGCACCCGCACACCTGCACACCTCACAGTGCCCAAGCATCATCCCCAATGCCCCCCCTTACCTGCAGTGTCGTCTCACCACCTCCCCCATCATCCCCTCACAGCCCCCCATCACCCCCAGAGCCCCCAGTGCCCCCTGGTTCCCCCAGTTCCCCAGTGCCCTCA